TCCTTTTGGGATTATGGGCGTGCATGCACAGGTGCAAGATATTTATTTGGAGAGACAGACAGACATCCACCCACCCCTCAACAGGACCTCCGTGCCATGTTCCACTCCTGTCTCCATTGGCCTGGATCATGGGCACCCACAAACGCGTCTGAAGTGCTCAGGGGGACCAGCAGGTGGCATAATGCTTACGTCGCTGGACTCCCACGAAGCTGACCATGGCTCGAGTCCTGGAACAGGTGGCTTAAAACTCACTCTAGGCGTGTGTGCATGTGTGCCCAAAATCCTGAAAGGAGAAGGGATCGTGGTATGGCCATCCCCCTGGGGGAATGATTTCTTGCTTTCTGTCTCTCCATGTCTTTGGTGAGCTCACATGCCCTTAAAAATCTCTCTTAAAAACAAACAAACAAAAAACAGAGTGCTGGGAAGGGGGGGCGGGGGTTCTAGGATGTGAACCCTATGAATTTCCAGGGTGAATCCAGCTGCATTATTGGCCCTAAATGGTTAACATCTTTACTGATGGAGACCAGAAGAGGGCAGAGTGGTTACGTGGCTGGACTCCCATATGGCTAACGGCGGTTTGAGTCCCAAGCCTGGCAGTTTGAAACTCACACTGGGCATGTGTGTGTGTGTGTGTGTGTGTGTGTGTGTGTGTGTGTGTGCCCAGAATTCTGAGAAGGGAATGGTGAAGGAATTGCGGTGTGGCCATCCCCCTGGGGGGTGATTTCTCGCTTTCTGTCTCTGTCTCTGTCTCTCCGGCGAGCACACGTACCCTATGGCAAAAAATCTCTCCTCCTTCCCCCAAAACACATCTTTACTGGTGTGTGTTTCATCTAGCTCGCTTCCCTGCAGCTAAACATAGTCACGTAAGTTCCACAAACGCAGGCTAATGATACAATCCATTTTCTTTCCTGCTTGATAAGCAACCACATGGGAGGTGGAGACATGTTTCCTATCGAGTAGGTAATATGTGATAGCCATAGCCAGCAAACCACTGTGTTAAACCATCTTTCAGCTGAGAAAACAATACACAGCTTACATCACATCGGAGAAGGGGTGACTTCAACATTTCCAGCAACGTGGCTATTTTTCAAATCTCAACTCCCCTGCTGGTCGTTAGGGAGAGTTTCGAAAGTCCCATTCTTGGCGGACATGGACGCCAGCCCGTGGACGAGGTTCTGAAGCCACGACACCCGGCTTCCGCGGCGTTCACACTCCGTCTCCGCTAACGCACCAACACGCGTGGTTTGAGTTCTCCTCAATGGAGCTCCGCTTATGTTTACAGAAGACGTGGGAATTCAAAGCGCTGTTGCTTCTATCTCCTGGGGGCTAGTAAACTACTTAAAAATGCATTGCTTGAACTGCAGTCACTATTTTCTTTTTTTTTGGAGAGGTTTTTTTCGCTATAGGGTGCATGTGCTTGCCAGACAGACAGAGAGAGAGACAGAGAGACAGAAAGCGAGAAATCACCCCCAGGGGGGATGGCCATGCCGCAATCCCTTCTCCTCCATTCTCCTCTCGGGATCTTGGGCACGCATGCACACGTGCCCGGCGTGAGTTTTTAAGCCACCGGGTCCGGGACACGAACCGCAGTTGACTACGTGGGAGTCCAGCGACACAGCCATTACGCTAACTGCTGGTTCCCTGGTTTTCTTCTTTTTTAAAGAGAGATTTTTGCTATAGGGTGCGCGCACTCGCCAGAGAGAAACAGAGAGAGGCAAAGTGAGAAGTCACCTCCCGGGGGGATGGGGGCACCGCAATCCCTTCTCCATTCTCCTCTTGGGATCTTGTGCCCAGTGGGAGTTTCAAGCCAAGGGTCCAGGACTCGAACCACGGAGTCCAGCGCCTTAACCACTGCAACAACTGCTGGCCGCACTAGTCTGTGCTCAGAGACACTGTCATCCAAACCTGTCCTGAGTCAAGGTGTGGGGTGTCAGATAGCCCAGTGAGGCTCGGTGCTGGATAGACGCACTTGAGATGGTCATTACACTGGTCTTGGGTGGGCGGTTCCTGCAAAATGCGCTTAAGAAAAAGGGGTTGGAGCCAGCAAGTGGTGTGGTGGTGAAGGTGCTGGACTCCCACGAAGCTGACCACGGTTCAAGTCCCAGACCTCCCAGCTTGAGAATCACGCCGGGTGTGTGTGGGGTGTGTGTCCAAAATCACAGAAAGAGACTGGAGGAGAAGGGACTGTGGCATGGCCAACCCCTCGGGGAGTGTTTTCTCCTCTCTCTTTCCCTCTCTCTGTCTCTCTGAGGAAAGTGCACATGCCCTATGGCAAAAACCTAAAAATAAACAAAAACAAAAACGGAAAGAAAGAAAGGGGAGTGAGGGAGGGTAAAAACTGGCTTATCCTATGACAACTGAAAGTAGTCTGGTTGGGGACCAGCGGTTAGCGTAATGGCTATGTCGCTGGACTCCCACGTAGTCGACTGCGGTTCGCGTCCCGGACCCGGTGGCTTAAAACTCACGCTGGGCGTGTGTGCGTGCGTGCCCAAGATCCCGAGAGGAGAATGGAGAAGGGATTGTGGTGTGGCCATCCCCCTGGGGGGTGATTTCTCGCTTTCTGTCTCTCTGTCTGACTGGTGAGCGCACGTGCCCTATAGCAGAAACCTCTCAAAAAAATTAATAAATAAAATAAAAAGTCCAGTTTTCTATATCCCATTCTTTTTTTTTTCTTTTTCTCAGAGAGAATTTTGCTATAGGGCGCGTGCACTCGCCAGACAGACAGAGAGAGACATAGAGACAGAAAGCGAGAAAGTACCCCTGAGGAGGGATGGCCACACTGCAATCCCTTCTCCTCCATTCTCCTCTCGGGATCTTGGGCACGCACGCACACACGCCCAGCGTGAGTTTTAAGCCACCGGGTCCGGGACGCGAACCGCAGTCGACTACGTGGGAGTCCAGCGACATAGCCATGATGCCACCTGCTGGTCCCTGTATCACATTCTTAGAAAACAGTCCCCAATGACCTCCAATGCTGATGAAGGGAAGACAGGTTTTCGTTTCTTTTCACCAAAGAGCTGGGGATCTGAAGCGAGATCAGGAAGACCAGGAATGAAACACGATTCCAATACGTTTTCGAAACCATTTCACTTGTTGTTGTTGTTTTTTAATTCAAATTGACCCAAAGCAAAACTTACATTACAAAGGAAGAACAGAACACATTATGATAATAACACATTAGGAGTTACATGAAGGCTAAAACTGGTGGGCGGATGGCCTCGTTCCGGACCACATTCTGGGCTAACGAAGCCAACCCTGCAGGAAAGTGAGACGCGCCCTCCTCCGATCCACTCGGGTAATTAAACTACACGCTCTTGCCTCTTAGGGTGTGCATCTGAGCCAGGATGCTAGCTCCTGAGTTCAAGGTGTGTACGCTCACTACTTTCCAGAATCCTGAATGAATTCTCGGGCGGAAATGCCATTCCAAGCATGACGGATCGTGAATTAAAAACAAAAACAAAAAACGAAAACCACTCAAGTCCTCCAGACTAATAAGCAGGAATTATTCTGTAGTCAATAGTTTAGAAATATGGGCATTAAATTATCTAAAACAAACAAACAAAAAACAACAACAAAATAAAACCCACAAAAAAAAAAAAAACACTCTTACTCTGCTGTACATTTATAAACACAAATATTTACAAAAACCAAAAAAGAAAAAAAAAAAATGAAGTTGTTTTCAAAAGATGAGGTTTGCAGTTCATTAATGAGCATAATTCTTTCTGAGCTGGTTTCTTTGGTGTATCTGCCAAATAGATTTGTATACGGTTGTGGGAATAGGCCTAAATAAGAAATCTCAAAAGGAACACAAGAATCAGTGGTGAATCTGTTAACATTCTGAACGTTTTGGGTGAAGGTTCGGGAAAAACTCAACAGTTGATTTCTTAAAAAACACCTGCTCTCTCTACACGCTGAGTGACCACAGAATACCTCTTTGCCAGTCGGACTCAAAGGCAGACCTGCCAACCATCACAGAATTTAACTCGTTACTAACTTGGAGACGTTTTCGCTATTGTTCAATATTATATATGATTGGGATTTTATTAACAAAAAACAAACAAACAAACAAATCAAACATTCTTTTTCGCCTTCCAGATAAATCAAACCTCAAGCAATAAATAATGGAATTATACACATCTTCATTAAATAGTGACTTCAATTCCAGGAAAAGCGCTCATAATTTTTTTTTTTTTCCCCGAAATTGCAGCAGTAATGCAGAATAAAGAATTTACCTTAATCTGATCTCTCTCTTTCTCTCTCTCTCTCTCTTGTTTTTTTTTTTTTAACTTGGAATTTCCTGACCCAAACTCAGTGGCTAACTTGGTTTGGAAACCTTTGAATCACTGGGGGACAAAAAAAAAAAAAAAAAAAAAAATAATTTTAAACTAAGGGACTC